TGATATAAGTTGTAGTAGTAGTAGTAGTAGTTACAATATGGTAGAACAGTTAACTCACACATGAGTAAAAGGATATAAAAGCTATTACTTGGCTAACATAAATAGGTTAGACAAATATTTCTGTTGGAGACTGGATGATGCAGCCTGTTTCACTGCTCATTCAATGTGTTTTGTGTAGTATTAACAGGAGAGACTATATGATGGCAGGGTTTACTGTTTTCAGGGGGATTCTTGTTAAGACTTCAGAGATGGTGAAGCTGCCTTTGTTTTTGTCTAATTGGATTCGAAAGCGATTAGTAAATGATTCAAGGCACTTGCCATCTGGCAGAAATTAGTTTCCTTTGATCAACTAATGGGGCTCCCTGAATTTCATGAGATGATTGGTGGAATTTCAGTGTTGTACACAGGCATTGTTCAAGTTATCGTTCCTACATGCATAAATGTGTTCATTGAGGCAGGTGTCGAGGTTTCTTGCTGTTTCACCTATATAAATCTTGTTGCAGCCTCCACAGGGTATAGTGTAAACCCCTTCATTAACTGGTTCATGGTGTTTTGATTTTGTCCTGGTTAGATCCTTTATTGAAGTGCTGGAAGCGATGGCGACTCTGGTGTTAGAAATACGTATTTGTTTAACCTATTTTTATGTTACCCAAGTAATAGCTTTTATATCCTTTTACTCATGTGCGAGTTAATTGTTCTACCATATTATATTACTACTACTACAACTTATATCACTACTACTACTACTACCACTAGTATTGCACCTCACTCTGAGCCTATATATACCCTGTGTGTCCATGTACTGTTTGTAACAGCTTGACAAAAAGCTCCTGGAGAGCGAAACGTTGCCACAATAAAAATGTCACATTACTTGCACTTGTGTCCTTTTACTTTACAATTTCACACAAATTTCAGAAGATGCCAGTTTCCAAATAAGGTCCAGAATAAGCAAGACAGACATTCCTGGCACTAAAATAACACTTTCTCTGTTCATTAGTCATGTCCCCAGGCCCCTCTTACATCTCTTTTGCTTTCCACTTTGAATTTTTATTCTCATAAAAAATAGAAGATTTACTGTTATGCAGACTACTGCATTAGCATAGAAGTGGTGTAGAAATGGTATAAATAATATCAGTGCACTTGTGAAAGAAAGAATACAGTGGACCCCCGACTCGCAATGCTATCGGTATCCGATAAATCCAGTAACCGATGCATTATATCGCAGAAAATTTGCCTCGGTTCCCGTTACAAAACCCAGTATGCGATACGATTCGTACGAGACGTGTCCAGTGTTTACAAGCCAGCCAGTGTGCGCACATCTAAGGATACATTCGGTACATTCTACATTATCCATATTATCACTGTTTTTTGGTGCTTTTTTCTGCAAAATAAGTCACCATGGGTCCCAAGAAAGCTAGTGCCAACCCATCAAGACCAAGGGTGCTAATGACTATTGAAATTAAGGAAATGTGTGCAAAGTGGCTTGAAGTGCAAACCTTTTTGATGCAAATTCACCTGACACAAGCTACTGCAAGCCGTGTTGGCAACCTGTACACTGACAATGTTGTGAACCACTTTAGGAAAGTCATAAAGGAACGAGAGGTACAGGCCTCTATAGACAGATATGTTGTGCGACAGAAGTCCAGTGACTCTCAAGCTGGTCCTAGTGGCATTAAAAGAAGAAGGGAAGTAACCCCGGAAAAGGACTTTTTACCTCAAGTCCTAATGGAGGGGGATTCCCCTTCTAAACATTAAAAACTTCGACACTCTAACCTCCTCCCATCCCATCAATCATCACCAGATCTTCATTAAAGGTAAGTTGTCAATTATTCTATTGGTGATTATTTCTAATTGTTTATTATTGTTACTGTAATTATTAGATTGCATTGAACTAATATATCAGTGTAAAAGTTTTTTTTTTTCATACTTTTGGGTGTCTTGCACGGATTAATTTGATTTCCATTATTTCTTATGGGGAAAATTTATTCGCTTTCCGATAATTTTGGTTTACAATGAGCTCTCAGGAATGGATTAATATCGTGAACCGGGGGTCCACTGTATTAGACTCACCAGTTGACATGTATTGGATGCTTGGCATGATTTGCTTACTTTTGAAATTTGGTAAAAATCGAACATTTCTGCTACTTCGAGCTCAATTTCAAGGTACTTTTCATTATGAAACCAAGCAAAATCATGTAAATTTCTGTAATATGACTTCCATTCTATAAAATGAGACCAGGAAAACTTCAATACAACCATAAATACCATACAAAAATACACTGCAAAGTCGCTGTTTTAACCCTTTGACTGTTGCAGCAATATATATACGTCTTACGAGGTACCGTGTTTGACGTATATATACTTATAAATTCTAGCGGCTTCAAATCAAGCAGGAGAAAGCTGGTAGGCCCACATGTGAGAGAATGGGTCTGTGTGGTCAGTGTGCACCATATAAAAAAAATCCTGGAGCATGCAGTGCATAATGAGAAAAAAAAAACTCCGACAGTTTTTTTTAATTAAAATGCCGACTTTGTGGTCTATTTTCGTATAGTATTTATGGTTGTATTCTCGTTTTCTTGGTCTCATTTGAATTGAATGAAAACAATATTATAGAAATATGAGGTGGATTTTTGATTGATTTACTACAAAAAGAACCTAGAAATGGAGCTCAAAAGTAGGGGAAATGTTTGATTTTTGCCAATGTTCAAAATAAACAAATGATGCCATTGTCCAAAAATGTCAACTAGCCATTCTAATATGCAGTCATGAATGGGTTGATGTTATTTATACAATTATTACAGTATTGCAGTAGTCTGCATAATAGTAAGTCTTCTATTTTTTGTTGTGAATAAAATTCAAATAGAAAGCAAGAGTAATATCAGAGGGCCTGGAGACATGACTGATGAGCAAAGAAAATGTTATTTTAGAGCCAGGAATGTCTGCATTGTTCATTCTGGACCTTATTTTGAAATTGTCATATTTTTTACTTTTCGTGAAATTGGCCAAATTGCAAATTTCTGACCACATTATTAGGTAGTTGAAATCGGTAAATGGGCAGTTTCTTGTACTCAATCGATAGAAAAAATGGAGTTCTAAAGAAATAGCTATGAGTTTGGGCGACTGGAACAATAGGAATTAGCCGAAAATAGGGCTCAAAGTGGGTGAAATCGCCGATTTGTAAACAGCGCCGAGGTCGCTAACTTCACGAGAGCATAATTCTGTCAGTTTTCCATCAAATTTCGTTTTTTTGGTGTCATTACAATCGGGGAAAGATTCTCTATCATTTCATAAGAAAAAATAATTTTTTTTTTTAAATTTTGCGACACCAGGAGACACCTCAGGATTGGGGGTTGCGACAATCAAAGGGTTAAACCAAAAACATGGTCGGAGTTTTTTTTCTCATTCTGCACGGTGGGGTGCAGGATTTTTTTTATACTGTGCACCCTGACCACATAGACCCATTCTTTCATATGTAGGCCTACCAGCTTTCTCTCACTAGATTTGAAGGCGCTAATATTTAGGCGTTCTAGTACATCAATAACCCTGGTGCGTAAGCCGTACTAGTACATCAGAAACCCTGAAAGGGTTAATGTAGGGCATGAGGTGAGTTTTATTCATAGGAAGTCAGGTTTGGGAAGTTTGGTAGCCAGCCAGGTCAGTCAACCCCACCCACACGTAATATACTACGACATTTAATTGAAGCGCCCCAGAGCGATCAAATAGATGTACAGTACATTCATTAATTAACTTAAAATATTTGTAGTTTTAATGTAGGGTGAGAGGTGAGTTTTATTTGTAGGAAGTCAGGTGGTAGCCAGCCAAGGCAGAGCTCCCCACCCCACCCACATATAATGTGAACAAACCAGGTGAATGCATCTGGTTTTCATCACTTTACATTGTGTACAAGTTGTCTCCACATTGATACAGTAGAATAAATGAAGAGAAACACTCCCATTCTCCTGTAACACCATTTTTAGAAGAAATGACGCTCTGAGTGAAGACATACGAAAGGAATAATTTTCTAGTTACCCCCAGTAATATTATAGTGATACATTTTCTGTGATGTTGGACTACAAGTTGCCTGGTTACCACAAGTCCTACAAGTCGCCTGGCTACTACATCTCACGTTAATTTATTCTGCTATGGGGTGTATTTATTATGTCTATATGTTACATAGCTTGTTTATTACATATGTAATTTTGAAAAGAATATCATAGATGGATTAATGGAAATGTCTATATTAATGTAATATAAGACATTTATTGCACCCAAGGCATTACGTATTATGTTAAGAGTAGAGAGACTATCAGTGATTTTAATGTGTACCTGCATGCCAGCACAGTGTGTAAGCATATTTAGGTACAGGTACACAAAAGTATAATTATCAGAGTACATATAAAATATTCAATAACTTTAAAACACTTGAAAGTTTGGAAAGTTTCCAGACATAATAGAGAGATGAGCTCACAGAGAATGTAAACAAACCAGGTGGGGCTCGCCATATTTGAAAGACCACTCGCCGTATAGCAAGTTTTGGTCGTACTTTTAAATTGCCGAATTAGCAGAACACTGTAAGGCAAGACCCTACTGTACTTGTACTCCTGTACACTAGTACACCTGTGCACTTGTACACCTGTACACCTGTACACTATTCAGATGTCAGCTTGTAAGTCCTCATAATAATTTAATGATTTATTCTAGACTTTATTAATAATAATTAGGCCTATTTTATTTCTATTGGTAAGAGACCCCTGGCTGTCTTGAAGAAGGCACTGGACAGGTATGTAAAGTCAGTACATGACCAGCCAGGCTGTGGTTCCTACATCAGTCTATGTGCTGCCAGCAGTTACAGCCTGCTTGATCAGGCCCTTATCCACCACGAAGCCTGGTCATAGACCAGACCATGAAGGCGTTGACCCCCGAAACCCTCTCCAGGTATTCCCAGAACCTAAAAATGACGTAGTGTTTTGCACTGAATAACTTATTTTCTTATCTTGCAGAAATTATTGACTACAATGTTACCAACACCAGAAGAGAAGCACAAGATTCAAGAAGCCACCATTTGCAACCCATACCTTCCTCTGGGGTCGGCAGAACAGTTTCTTATGATGCAGTCGTCCATATCTGAACTTCCCGCCAGATTAAAACTCTGGATCTTTAAGCTAGACTATGAGAACATGGAGAAGGTAATAACAAACAGGGTAATTTTTGTCCATTTCATCAGAATTTGCTTTGACATTTAGCTGGTGACTGACATGGTTGCTCTGCCTGTGTTGCTCTCTGAGACTTCCACCTTTATTGTAGAATTTTTTAACTGCATTTCCCCTTATTTCCCTTCCCATTCTGTTCATGTCCTCCCCTTAACACCTCCACCTCTTCTGTTCTGAAATTTTGTTCACCTCTGCCATGTTCCATTGAATGAACCATGTGGGTTTAGCACTTCCCATGAATATAATAATAATAATAATGCATGGAAATGCTTCTTCACACCATAGAAACAAAATAAAATAAAATACACCTACCATCCGACTTACGACCTGCTCGACTTACGACCGCTCGACTTACGACCGTGTTTTTTATGCCAAATTTCTGGGAAATAAACAAGTATTTGTGTTGTACACAGTGTTTATCCTAAACCTTACAGTATAAAATACAGTACTAACAACATAAAAAGTAAAGTAAAACATGAAATACCAAAATAAAACAATAAAATAAAGTCATTACAAAAATGTTTTGTTGATATTCAGTAGTAAAGTTCGACTTACGACCAGTTTCTCGGAACCGAACTCGGTCGTAAGTCGGATGGTAGGTGTATTTATTTTTTTTGTTAAGGTTACAATGTGTGTTTACATATAGTATGAATGGAGCAAAGAAAACCATTATCATGCCTAGGCATTTTGGGCAGACTTAACCTAATACTTATAGACTACTTAAGTCTAGACAGGTGAAGAGTGGTAGAATACAAACAGTCAGTCTTCACTATTGTTAATATGAGAAATTATAAGAAATTCTACTTGCCTGAATTGCATTAGTGGCTTTCTTTTGTGCCTAACAATGTTTCATTGCATATAAATTACATTATTTTAGGTAGTAGGTTGGTAGACAGCAGCCACCCAGGGAGGTACTACCATCCTGCCAAGTGAGTGTAAAACGGAAACCTGTACAGTAGGGCCCCACTTATACGGCAGGTTAGGTTCCAGGCTACTGCCGGAAAGTGGATATCGCAGGAAAGCAGAATGCCATTTGTTTCCAATTATGTCAGATACGTTTACACTTCTCCATGGGGAAGTGGAACAGAATTCTTCCTCTGTAAGCCACGCATGTCGCAAGAGGCCACAAAAATGCCTGGAGCACGGGGCTAGTAACCCTTTCTCTCGTATACATTACTAAAGTTGAAAAAGAGAAACTTTCGTTTTTCTTTTTGGGCCACCCTGCTTCAGTGGGATGCAGCCTGTTTGTTGAAAGAAGAAGTTTACACTAATATATATTAAATTAGCAATAGAACAAGGCATTAAAAAACAAAAGTAAAATACACACACAGTACATTCATTACTTACTTCAAAATGTTTGTAGTCTTAATGTAGGGTGAAAAGTGAGTAGTGCCTATTGTAAGAAGTTAGATATGGTAGCCAGCCAGGCCACCTCCACCCCACCCACACATAATATACTTCGACATTTAAAGAGCCCTAGAGTGATAAAATGCATATAGTGTACACTCATTACCTACCTTAAAATATTTGTAGTCTTAATATAGGGTGCAAGGTGAATACAGCCTCTCTTCACTTAACAACGGAGATAGGGGCCTAAGACCCTGTCAGTAAACAATTTCATCGTTAATCGAGGAATGACCCGTACCGACACTTCAAAAGTGTCACCACCCAAAAATTAAAACATTTGCTTTTATGTTTGTTGGAAAATTCATTTCAATCTGTTTATTATTAATGGTAATACAACATGAAGTAGGTTGATGACTCACTTCCGAGATATTCCAGGAAACACGTACATAGCTGATTACAGTGGACCCCCGGTTTACGATCAGCTCCCAATGCGACCAATTATATAAGTGTATTTATGTAAGTGCGTTTGTATGTGTATGTTTGGGGGTCTGAAATGGACTAATCTATTCACAATATTCCTTATGGGAACAAATTCGGTCAGTACTGGCACCTGAACATACTTCTGGAATGAAAAAATATCGTTAACCAGGGGTCCACTGTACAGTGGACCCCCGGTTTACGATATTATTTCATTCCAGAAGTATGTTCAGGTGCCAGTACTGACCGAATTTGTTCCCATAAGGAATATTGTGAATAGATTAGTCCATTTCAGACCCTCAAACATACACGTACAAACGCACTTACATAAATACACTTACATAATTGGTCGCATTGGGAGCTGATCGTTATGCGGGGGTCCACTGTACTTGGGAAATTTTTTGTTTTGAGAAAATCACACTTTTTTCAGTCTTTGCATAGGGTAAGAGTGATTTTCTATAGTTACTCTTCAGGCGCATAACATTTTCTGTTATGGTTGCAGTCACTTTTTTTTTTTTTTATCCCTCTCTGCCCTCCACTCTTCAATACCTCTCTATATAATATCAGTTTTTATTAATTTGGGCATCTTTATCATGCTTCTACATTATTTGTGTTATACCTAATATTAGTCTGGAATGGATGTGATAGGTAGATAACCTTTATTGATAGTAATAGTATGATTAAACAATATTTTATAGTGCCGTGAGCTTACACGTCCATACATCATGGTGAAGCATGAATTACTGAGACTGCTGGTGCCTTCTCCACTCTCTTGTATATCCCAGCCCCACACATCCTCCAGTGCCTCTCCATATATGTCAGTTTTTATTAATTTGGGTAGCTTTTTTATGCTTCTACGTTATTTAATCAAACTTTTTATTCATCCATGACTTGCCGTAAATGTTTCTGTTGATTCCTCACTTTCACCTGCCTTCAAAGTCTTAAAGATACTGTGTGCCTTAGCTTGAATAATTGAAAGGCTTATCGGCATTCTTTTTTTGTATCTGGTAGTCAAACCACATCACCAGTAATTTCTCCAGTTCTTGAATGAGGCCTTTCTGCTGCCTAGTTATTATGGCTTGAAATCCTGTCGATGCTTTCACTGCCTCTTTCAAGTTAGTGGAAATGGTAGAATGCGCCACCTTCAAGTCATCAGCTATCACTTGTACTTTCTTACCAGCTTCATACTCATTTATAACCTTCATTTTCACCTCAAGATCAAGAGCCTTCCTTTGGTTCTTAGCACTTCCTTCAGGTGAAGTCAAGATCTTCCTTTTCACTGACATCTTGTACTATGGGATGCACAATAAAGTGCAAATTTGTACAAATACGTATTCTTGGAGACAGTGAAAGCTGGGTGCCTGTAGGACGAAGTCTGAGATACTTGACGCTGAGACATCACTTTGCCTGTATAAATGTCATATGTATTTTGTACAAGTTTAGTAGCTAACATTTAAACTACTCTAGAGCAATTGTTGTTATTATTATTATTATTATTAGTAGTAGTAGTAGTAGTTGTATTCTTCTTTCAACAAACCAGCTGCATCCCACTGAGGCAGGGTGACCCAAAGAGAAAAACAAAAGTTTTTCTTCTTTTTACATCGATTAACGATAAATCCAACTAGCGATACATTTTAACGCAAAAATTTTGCCTCGACTAGCGCTAAAAAACTCGACCAACACTATTCATTCCGTCTGAGACGCGTCCACTTCTGGCCAGTGTTTACAAGCCAGCCAGCCACCGCGGTCGCTTCCAAGCATGCAATCGGAACATTTCATATTATCATGCAATCGGAACATTTCATATTATCACTGCAAAATAAGTCACCGTGGGCCCCAAGAAAGCTTCTAGTGCCAACCCTACAGCAAAAAGGGTGAGAATTACTATGGATATGAAGAAAGAGATCATTGCTAAGTATGAAAGTGGAGTGCGTGTCTCCGAGCTGGCCAGGTTGTACACAAAACCCCAATCAACCATTGCTACTATTGTGGGCAAGAAAACAGCAATCAAGGAAGCTGTTCTTGCCAAAGGTGCAACTATGTTTTCGAAACTGAGATCGCAAGTACTCGAAGATGTTGAGAGACTGTTATTGGTGTGGATAAACGAAAAACAGATAGCAGGAGATAGCATCTCTCAAGCGATCATATGTGAAAAAGCTAGGAAGTTGCATGACGATTTAATTAAAAAAATGCCAGCAACTAGTGGTGATGTGAGTGAATTTAAGGCCAGCAAAGGTTGGTTTGAGAGATTTAAAGGGAAGGGAAGTAACCCCAGAAAAGGACTTGCCACCTCAAGTCCTAATGGAAGGGGATTCCCCTTCTGAACACTAAGACCATCAACACTCTCCCCTCCTCCCATCCCATCAATCATCACCTGATCTTCAATAAAGGTAAGTGCCATGTAACTGTGCATGTCTTCTTCAGTTTGTGTGTATTAAAATTAATATTTCATGTGGTAGAAACAATTTTTTTTTCATACTTTGGGGTGTCCTACACGGATTAATTTGATTTCCATTATTTCTTATGGGGAAAATTAACTTGACTAACGATAATTTTGACTAACGAGGAGCTCTCAGGAACGGATTAATAGCGTTAGTCGAGGGTCCACTGTATAGTTTTACCAACGCTCTTATATGGGTGTGAAGCATGGGTGATGAATGTTGCAGTGAGGAGAAGGCTGGAGGCAGTGGATATGTCATGTCTGAGGGCAATGTGTGGTGTGAATATAATGCAGAGAATTTGTAGTTTGGAAGTTAGGAGGAGGTGCGGGATTACCAAAACTGTTGTCCAGAAGGCTGAGGAAGGGTTGTTGAGGTGGTTTGGACATGTAGAGAGAATGGAACAAAACAGAATGACTTCAAGAGTGTATAAATCTGTTGTGGAGGGAAGGTGGGGTAGGGGTCAGCCTAGGAATGGTATGGTTGGAGAGAGGGGGTAAAGGAGGTTTTGTGTGCGAGGGGCTTAGACTTCCAGCAAGCATGCATGAGCATATTTGATAGGAGTGAATGGAGATAAATGATTTTTAATACTTGACGTGCTGTTGGAGTGTGAGCCTCTGCTGAGTGGGAGACAGATGAACACTAACTTTTTCATCCTTGTGTTTCAGAATGCCGGAGTTTGTAGCAGACTGTGCAGAGCGTACATTTGTTCTGGAAATTATTTATCAGCGAGTGATGACTGGGTAAGGGGCACAGAAGCAGTATTGAATGTCTAGCACCATTATAAGAAAATATCAAGATGGTCAGATTTTTAGATATCAATAAGGATTTTTAATAATAAAAAAAATTATGTCATTCCATTGATTAAAAATCCCAAAAAACATTTCCCAAAACCCTACTTTACTTTTTTCACCTTTCAAAATTTTTTCCCCAGGGTTTTTGTTTTTTTTAAATTTTCGCAAAGACAAAAATTTGAGTAAATTTCCACCCCATTGTCCTTTGCTAAAATTTTTTTAAGAATTTTTAAAACCATACTATTTGACAAGGGGGAAACAGGCTCCTCTTTAATTTCATAAAGGGGCTTTTATTTCAAAAAATTCAAAAAGAAAATTTAATTTTAATTGTTTCTTTGTCATTGTACCCAGAAAAAAGAAGTTTCTTTTTAAACAATTGAACAATTTAAAAATGAACACCTTTTTTTTAAAGTAAATTAACCAGTTTTTAATAAAAAATTATTTACTCTTTCACAGCCCTCACCTGCGGTCTTTCTGATAAAATTAATGAATATAACAAAGTTTTGGGTTTAAAAGAAATTTTTCTAATTTTGGGTGCAGCAAAATTTTTAATAGCATTTTTTGTTTACAGATTTCAGCGGATCAGTGTGGTTGGGCCACCGCTACACTTAGCCCAGGACATTAAGGTTCAACAAGTGGCTCAACAATAAGGAGTTTGCCCGGGAGTGCGGGACCTCCCAAAGCATTCACAACAATTCAAAGAACGAAAACCCACCGTGAAAAAAATAGACTCAGGGGAAGATGACCCGTAAGGTATGCATTGAGAAATGGGGGTTTAAATTAAAAAAGACCATTGTACTTTTCATACCCCAAGAGAAAAAGAAATACTTCGTACCACCCTTTGGGTAGGGGGGTGTTTGTCTCACATCAATGACAAATTTCTCCCATTTAAAGGGACCTTTTCCCCACCTATTCTGCCCAGTGGACACATTATTAAGGGGGCACGAAATCGTAGTACACAATTGCAAAAAAAACCATACCACAGTGGGGGTTGAACCCGCATCAAAATCATAAAACTCCAGACAGACCCCTTATCCACTGGCCCGCTGGGACCATTTATCAACTTTATTTTTTTCCCCTTTATGCATGTTTTACAAATTTTGGCAAAAGGTAAGTTTTCTGAACCAGGGGAGGGGGTAGGGCCCCCACTCTCGGGGGTTGGTATGGGCTCCATCGACCTGACTCAAATAATTTTCAAAGAAAGTCCTGTTTTCCTTTCCGTCTTGCCCCCAAATTTGGGGATTATTTTTTCTCTGTCTCAGAAGCAAAGCTTTATAAGGAAAGCTTGAGTGGCCCTTTAACCCTCAAAAACAAGAAAAAAACATAAACCATGGGAAAAACAAAAACAGATTGATGCACATTTAAAGCTTAAGATTTAATACCGTCACAGGGGGGTTGAAGGGGTTTTTTTTATTACAGTTCTCGGTTAATTTCTCCCCCAAACCATTCACATTTTCTTTTCATTGTAAATGATGGAGGGAATTACCCAGCACCCAGAAATGTGGTAGATTATTATGAATATCAAACCCAAAAAATCACGGGTCTCCCTCAAATTTTACTTGGGCACAACCCTGGGGTTTTTTACCCTGAATAGACACATTTTAGTGAAAATAGTCAACCTTAATTAACCCTTAAACGCCCAAAAAAAATATAACTTCTTACGCAGGCCCCAAACTTATAACTTTTATTTTTCCTGCCTTCAAATTTAAACACAAAGGCCTGAGATGCCTGTCAGCAAGAATGGGGGCCAACACCAGTTGCAGGATTAAAAAAAAACGGGGTCACTTAGTACCTGTTGGACCCAGTTAATTGAGCGCCACTAGAGCAAACATGCAGTAAACACCAAGGATCAAAGATGTAATTCATATTAACACCCCTTTTTAAAAGGGAAAAAAGTTAAACCCCCAATTTAGGGCGTCTATCTCTGTATCCTATCTCTATCCCTTTTCCCCCATCTATCGTCTTCTTTTCTGTCTCTGTTACCTCTGGTCTATCGTGCTGTCTCTTCTTCTTACGTCTGTCTGTTCGTATCTCTTTCAATCTGTCTCTCTATCTCTGTCTCACAGGTACACATAAATACAAGTAGACATAGTGTAAATTACCTAGGATAACCCAAAAAATCCAGACAAAGTGCTATACTCTGCTTGAAGATGTGAGTAAACATGATGACGACACAGTTTTGTGGCTCTCTCTGAGACAGAGAGCAAAATAACAGGGACTTGACAGACAGAAAATAAAAGACAAAATTTTTTTACAGCCCAAAACAAAGTGAGGGCAGTGCTCATCAAATATCACCTCTAATCTTTTCTTATCAGCTGCACCCTCCCCACCTCTTATCAGTTGTTATCTCATCATGTCACTGTCAGGGGTGGACTTCGTTTTTCATGCTTCAAGGCAACTTATTATTACTTATCATTATTATTATGTATCATCATCATCATCATCATCATCATCATCATCATCATCATCATCATCATCATCATCATCATCATCATCATCATCATCATCATCATCATCCTCATCATCATCCTCATCATCCTCTCTCACCCTCACTCCATCTCCTCCATCTCCTCCTCCTCCTCTCCTCCTCCTCCTCCTCCTCCTCCTCCTCCTCCTCCCTCCTCCTCCCTCCTCCTCCTCCTCCTCCTCCTCCTCCTCCTCCTCCTCCTCCTCGCTCCTCCTCCTCCTCCTCCTCCTCCTCCTCCTCCTCCTCCTCCCTCCCTCCTCCTCCTCCCCTCCTCCTCCTCCTCCTCTCTCCTCCTCCTCTCCTCCTCCTCCTCCTCCTCCTCCTCCTCCTCCATCCTCCTCCTCCCTCCTCCATCTCTCCTCCTCCTCCTCCTCCTCCTCCTCCCTCCTTCTCCTCCTCCTCCCTCATCCTCCTCCATCCTCCTCCTCCTCCTCCATCCTCCTCCTCCTCCTCCATCCTCCTCCTCCCTCCTCCTCCTCCTCCTCCTCCCATCTCCTCCTCCTCCTCCTCTCCTTCCTCCTCCTCCTCCTCTCCCTCCTCCATCCTCCCTCTCTTCCTCCTCCTCCTCATCTTTCTCCTCCTACCCTCTCTTTATCTCCTTGCCCTCCTCCTCCTCTCTCTTCTCCTCCTCCTCTCCTTCTCCTTCTCCTTCTCCTTCTCCTGAGATTGCGTTTATTTTCGACCTAAATTTTGGTTAACAAACCTCTAATTTATTTTGACAGAAGCCAAAACCAGAGGCATATTACTGTTAATGATAAAATTGAAATTTTCTTTCCTGTCAAAGAGAATTAGGCCAGCGAAAAAGCTTCTAACTTATTTCCCGAGCGGTTAAATTCCGTTCACTTCTCTTTTTTATAGTGTATAAAACATATTACATTTTCAATGTAAAGCTGAAGATTTTTCTTCTAAAAATATCACTTACAGGTTAATAACCACCTTTGCAGCTTCAATGCAAAATTCTAATTTAAAATATATAAGTAAATTAAACAAAAATAAAAAACATAACAACAATTCAAATAAAAAATCCTTTTATATAAATTATAATAATATTCTCCTGTCTTAATTGTAAGTAAACAGAACCTTTTATTATCCCATCAAATCCTCCCTCACCTCCAAAATATTCTGACCAACCTTTATCTCCAATCTTGAAAAAAGACTCCCCACTCCTTAATCTTCAGCGAGATACCCTAAAAGTTGACAAAATTGGTATAAACCATATAGACCCTATAAACACAACATAAGAATAAAATCCAACAGACTTTAATCTAGTTCTTGACCTAACCATGTTAGTTGTATAACCTAAAAGGGCCCCTAATCCTCTCACTAATAAAGCTAAAATTTTAAAAAAAACCTCAAACAAATCATATAAGGTTCTGGAAATACTACTCAAGCTAAAACACACCCTCCTACTACCGCTCCAACCCTTAATATTATTATACCCCTCAGCATTTTTCTGTGATTTTCCCTAACAAATATTATAGACCTTATATTAGAAAAGCACCTTAATTCTATAATAGATTAATCGAAATGTGTAACATACTGTTAAACCAGTGCTTAAGACATATAAAAAAAATCTAAAAATATTAATTTCCCTTATAAATGCAACTTCTAAAATCAAATCTTTAGAGTAAAATCCAGCCAAAAAAGGTATACCACATAGAGCCAGGTTAGCTAAATTCATACAAACCCTAGTTAAAGGTATACATATCACTAGCCTGCCCATATTACGAATATCTTGATATTCTTTAACCCTGTGAATTACCATTCCCGCACACATAAACAATAAAGCCTTAAATAAAGCATGAGTTAGTAAATGAAAAAAGGCTAGATCAGCGAATCCTAAAGATAAAATACTCATTATCACACCCAATTGTCTCAAAGTTGACAGAGCAATGATTTTTTTCAAATCAAACTCAAAATTAGCCCCCAAGCCCGCTATAAATATAGTTAGACAAGAAACAATTAACAAAACTCTTTGTACACACGAACCCTCCAAAGCTCCACTAAACCGAATCAAAATGTAAACACCAGCTGTCACTAACGTTGAAGAATGAACTAAAGCTGAAACCGGAGTAGGAGCAGCTATAGCTGCTGGAAGTCAAGCCGAAAACGGAATTTGAGCTCTTTTAGTTATAGCAGCAACACACACAAAAACTTTCAATAATAAAAAATCCCCACTCAAGTATCTTTCATAAAAAATAAAATTTCAACCCCCTAACATAAAAAGTAAAGAAATACTCAACAAAATCCCAACATCTCCAATTCGATTTGACAAAACTGTTAATATACCTGCATTCGCAGATTTTTCGTTTTGGTAATAAATTACCAACACATAAGAAATTAACCCTAACCCATCTCAACCTAAAAGGATACTAATTAAATTAGGACTAATAATCAAAGCCCCTATAGATAGAACAAAACCAAAAACTAAATATATAAATCGCCTGTACCTTTTATCTCCACTCATGTAATCCCCTCTATAATATATTACCATAGAAGAAATAAACAAAACTACCCCTAAAAATAAGAATCCTACTCAATCATAAATCAAAGTTACCACAACAGAAGAAGAGTTAAAAGAAAAAATTTCCCATTCAATTACATAAGCAGACCCCAAACTTAACCTTACTAAACTAAATAAAATAAAAACCAACGCCCTAAATGACAAAAACACTAAACTAACTAAATGACCATAAGCACTTCACATCATAATTTAAAATAACTTTCTTATCTCTTCGGCACCACAACCCGATGTTTTATTCTAAACTATTTAAATTGAAAGGTTCTAGTAGTTTAAAAAAAAATTTTGGTCTTGTAAACCAAAGATGAAGTCCATTTTTAGAACTTTATACAAAATCAGTTATAATATTTTATATTTCACTCTTCCTCTTACCTTAAGAATAGCTATTCTGTTCTCAACTTTAACACATCCCCTCTCCATAGGGCTTACCCTTCTTACACAAACCATTCTTATCTGCATACTTTCAGGTCTGTTCAGACCCTCCTTCTGATTTTCATATATTTTATTTCTAATTTTTTTAGGGGGAATATTAATTTTGTTCATTTATGTCTCTTCTCTAGCTTCCAACGAAGCCTTTAAAATTCACTTAAAGTCTAGCCTATTAATCACCTTATCCCTTCCTTTATCCTTTATCCTA